GGAAACACCTCTTATCAACAGGGTGCCTGAATGAAACATAATTGTACACCTAACCCTTAACTGTACCCTACAAAACCATAATAAAAAAATTGATTAAAAAAAAAGTCTACCACATACAATTATGTACAGTACAGAATACTTAATCATGATAATAAATCACTATGTTACTGGTTTATGTATTTAAAAAATAAATAAATAAAATAAAATAAAAATACATATACACAATGGAATACTATGCAGCCATAAAAAAGAACAGTCATGAATTTCGCAGCAACCTGGATGGAACTAGAGTCTATAAAACTGAGTGACCTCTCACAGAAACAAAGATCTGAATATCACATGTTCTCACTCATACAGTGGACCTTGAACATCCAACGTAACACTATAAGAAAATGACTGACAGTGGTGGGAAACTATGGGGGGGAGGAGAAGGGAGATGGGATTAACGGTAGTAAATATCTGTCTGGGGACGGGGAGACACCTCTTATCAACAAGGGTGCCTGAACGAAGCATATATGTATACCTAACCCTTAACTGTACCCCACAATTCATAATAAAAATATTGATGATTAAAAAAAAAAGAACTCTCAGAACCTAGACACACTGAACATAAACATAGCAGCTCTCTTCCAACTGTGACAGTCATTCACACGTATTTACAAACTTCTAATAAATGTGTCAATCACGTAACAAAGGCACTCTCTGTGAGTCACATGTCAACTCATGGGTTAACAAACCATCCTCCATCCTCCATCCCTGCCTCCTGATGGACTCTAGGATATTGGAGTGTTTTCAGGTTGCACTGACTTTGCAGCAAGAGATGTATTTATTTCTTTATTGTTACAATTTATAACACAGTGATTGCACATCACACAAAATGTGTCTCTTTAACAACTTACGAGGCATACCTTCATGCAGCCACTCCTTTTTATTCTTCTTGGGTTATTCCCTTGGAGGTATTTTCCAAATAGAGGGAAAGAATGTATAAATTACCTCAATTCTATTTGCCCATCAGATTGTTTTTTGGAAAAGTTCAACCAATTAGCCATTAACAAAATAAAGTTATGTTAATTTCACCATATTCCCCAAATGTTGTACTGTTATTTGTTTATTTTGTGCTGTTAGTATGTGAGGCTGTACAGTTAGTCTTGTGAAAATATTTGAATATATACTATGTCCCTCTTCTATTTTTTTTTTGTTTTGCTGTTTTTTGGGGTTTTTTTTGAGTTGGAGTCTCACTCAGTCGCCCAGACTGGAGTGCAGTGGCCGCTCACGGCCACCGCAG